GCAGGGGGAGCGGCAGCTGCTCAGGCTCCGCCTCGGTCCTCCCAGCCTTGGGACGGGGCAGGTGTGGCCACCCTGCAGGGGGAGAAGGGCTGCCTCACTGCAGAGAGTGTGCATGCACCCACGGAGCCCAGTGAACGGAGCGGCTCCAGGCCCGAGGCTGGCCGGGGTGCCCAGGCATGCCAGCTCGCCACATCCTCTGTGCACCTTGAAGCGCTCAGGAACGCTCCAGGAGGACTGAGCAGGACCGTGCCAGCTCAGGGGCACCAGCTGCATGCGGGGCTGTGGGGCTGCCTGGCAGGGAGCGTCCCTCCCACCTCCCGCCTGCTCTGCCCAGAGGGGACTGACTGGACCAGCCTGGCTCCGGCCCGTTTCAGGGATGCAGGTCGGAAAGCCTTGACTGGCACCGCCCTTCTCCTCCTCCAGGAGGTGCACTGTAATGTCCAGAGAAGGGACACTGGGTCCCCAGCTTCCTCTCACACTGGGGGGGGGGGCACTGGGAGCCCGGCTGGGCACACAGGGAAGTCCCACCACGTCTTCGAGAGCCCTGAGTTCCGAGCCAGACTCGGTTATGAACACGGACATGAAGCAGGCCGCACCCCATGAGGGTGGACACAGAGCAAGATCCCCCGCGCTTCACGGCGGCTGATTCTTTGAACGGAACCTAACGTGGGACCCAGAGCCAACCGACCCTCTGCTCCTGCCAGGGCCGTGGGCTCTGAGCGGCGCCTCCCCAGTCCGCATTCTGCAGAGGACAGACCTGGCAGGCAGGGTCCCCCGCTCGGCGGCAGGGACAGCTCCAGGGCCCCACACCGGGCTTTGCCAGCGAGGTCCCCTTGGCCAGGTGGTGAGAACTACACCGGCGGGGAGGGCACCTGTGATTCCTGATGAGGGCCCACGAGGGACTGGGAAGGCCCTGAGGACCCGAACTCAGAAGCAAAGCCCACGTTCTCATCCCCAGTGACCCGCGCTGTCTTTCTGGAGGGTGCCCTGACCACCCCCACCTCTCGAGGGACTGGCGGGCCAGGGCCCAAGATGCTAACCAGGCACGGTGTCGCCAAAGGCCCAGGCAGTGCCGTTGCCATCGCACGGTGTCGCCAAAGGCCCAGGCAGTGCCGTCGCCATCAGAACATGTGTAGACAGGCCCCGTGTGGGGCCCCCGCACCGTCAGCTCTCAGCCAGTTACACGCAGCCCGGCACCTGTGCCCAGGCTTTGGCCGATGCACCTGGCACTGGGATTCAGGTGCCAAAGGGGCAGTCCAGGCTGGACTGCAGACACAGGGGCCACCGTGACCGGTCCGTCAGGCCCTCCGGGGTATGTGGGGGCACCTGAGTCAGGGATGCTGCCTTCCCAGTGACCTCCCGCCGACTAAGGGCTGGAGCCCCATGGTGGAGGGTGCTGTCCAGGCTGCTGGACAGCTCGCAGGGCCAGGACGGGCCTCGGCTGCTGCTTGGTATACCGGCCCTCCCCAGGACGCACAAGGTGAAGGCAGAGCCGGTGGTGCGGCCTCCCCGCTGCCTCTCCAGGCCCCAGGGCGCCCTCCCTCGTCCAGCCCTGCAGGGAGGGACAGGGCATGTGCAGCCCTGGCCAGGGGCCCACCCCACTTCCTTCTGCTGCTACAGAGGAAGTCCCCAGGCCTGTCAGAACAGGACCACCTCACCTGCGGCCCCCATGTCAACTGAGAGCCTGCATCAGCCAGCCCTGCCCGCAGGGCCTAGGCCCTTCCTGCCCGGCGCCAACGGCTGACACCCCCCTGCTCTGTCTGCGAGACCCTCCCTGACCACCTGGGGGCTTGGCCAGCTCCTGTGGAATAGGCGGCCGACCTAAAGCACCCCCAGCTGAGAGCGAGGCAGACATTGTCACTGGTGTCACCAATGTCTCGGCGCACCCAGAGCTCACTGGCTGGGTGGGGACAGTGGCCCCAACACCACAACAGTGAGCCCAAACCACCGCTGGTCGCCCGCCCGAGCCTGCGTCTCCCTGGAAAGAGGGCGGGCTCTCACTTCCGGGGAGACCGGAGTCAGGACTCCCAGGAAGTGGCTCGAGGTCTGCCCCGGGGCCTGAGCGTGGGGGGCGCGGTTGGCTGCACCAGCGCGGGACCACCATCAGAGGCAGGCCACCCCAGCCCCGGGCCCTCTGGGGACCTGCCGGGCCCTGACCTGGGACACCAGGCCCAAATCGCAGGACCACCCGAAGGGCGGCTCTCACACAGGGGTCCTGCCGTCAGGACTCCGGCTGCCCCGACAGGGTCTCCTGTGCCAAGCAGGAGCCAGGGATGTACTCGGCACCGGGGTGCCCCGGACTCCAGCCCTGAGGGCCATGCCGACAGGACACCGGTCCCATCCTGAGGGCAGGCCCCTCCTCAGGCCATCTCTTCCCCCACCGCGGGGACAGCCTGCTCCCACCCCACCCCTTCCAACCTGGCTGACAGTCCCTGCCTACCACTCGCTAGCAGGCACCGGCTCTGCACGCAGACTGCCTCTGTGGCCCTGGGAGGTCAGTGCGGGGTGGGGGGACTACAGAGCCAGTCCACAGACCACCCGCCCTGGCCAGGGACCGTCCTCACGGTGCACAGTCATCTCCAGCCTTCAGGCCCAGGGGCCACCCTGAAACCCGGGCTCGGCCCCCCACCCTCGAGGTGTGCACAGCCACGTGCCCCAGGGACGCTTCCACCGGGTCTCCCGGTCTCAGCAGCCGGGCACAAGCCCCACCCTGACAGACAGGTGCCAGGCCGGCTCCAGACAGGACTGGTGGGGACACGGGCAGGACAGGCCACTGCCCTGCGCACCTGCTCCCGCGCGGTGCACTCTCCAGCAGCGGGCTCCAGGGGGGCGCCGGGGTGACTGCAGCCCCCCGCTCCGCACCTCCACGCGGGAGCAGCGGGCACCCCGCCAGCGCCCGGTCACGGCCGGCC